CTCTGTTTTCTCCTTCACAGATGCTGCCAGACCTGCTGAGCTTTTCCAGCAACTTCTGTTTTTGTTCCTCAACACCACTTCCCTGCCTTCTCCCCATAACTTTTGATTCTCTCACTGATTAAAACTCTGCCTATCCCATCCTCAAATATACTTAACTGACCAGCTTCGACAGCCCTCTGTGGTACACGTTTCAACAGATTCACTACCCTCTGAGAGAAGAAATTCCTCTATGGTAGACTCAGCCTGGGAGTCTCCTCTCTCCCCTTTGCCTCCTGCCGAGAACTCACATGAGTAACTGAACCATTTTGGATACAATTTAATGCAAGCAATAAACTGAACCATGGAAGAAGCATTGTGGAATACTCCAATCCTTGAGATTTTCATTTTTAGCTTTGCAACATTTTTAGATAAGCTTCAGCAGCTCAGACTTGTTCAAAAATCTAATTCCCATAAAAACCGAAAGAACTGCGGATGCTGTATATCAGGAACAAAAACAAAAGTTGCTGGAAAAGCCCAGCAGGTCTGGCAGCATCTGTGAAGGGAAAAACAGAGTTAACATTTCGGGTCCGTGGACCCTTCCTCAGAACTGACTAATTCCCATCTTTGGTTCAGAGTTGTGATGCAAAATAAATAGACTCCATCCAATTCACAGTTGACATCTGTACGGCTAGTTTCTTTTTGCTCACATTCAGGTTTTATGACTAGCTGATGTCCTAATCAGGCTTAGTTTAATTTCTGAGATAGTAGGAACTGCAGATGCTGGAGAATCTGAGATAACAAGGTGTAGAGCTGAATGAACACAGCAGGCCAAGCAGCATCAGAGGAGAATCAGAGGAGTTTAATTTCTACTTTTTTTTCTATTTGAAACATTTATAGTTTGACCTATTCTAGACATTAGCTGTGTTAATCTGGCAATTAAAAAAAGGATGAAGGGTCTAGGCCCGAAACGTCAGCCTCTCTGCTCCTATGATGCTGCTTGGCCTGCTGTGTTCATCCAGCCCTGCACCTTGTTGTCTTGGAAAATAATACATGTCCTTTTGCTGGCACAGTGGCTCAGTGGTTGGCGCTGATACCTCACAGCGCCAGGAACCCGGGTTCGATTCCACTCTCGGGCGACTGTCTGTGTGGAGTTTGCACATTCTCCCCGTGGTTGCATGTTTTTCCCCTGGGTGCTCTAGTTTCCTCCCAACGATGCGCAGGTTAGGGTGGATTGGCTGTGGGAAATTGCCCCATAGTGCCCAGGGATGTGCAGGTTAGGATGGATCGGCCATGCTAAATTGTCCCATAGTGTCCAGGGATGTGCAGGTTAGGGTGGATTGACCGTGGGAAATTGCCCCATAGTGTCCAGGGATGTGCAGGTTAGGGTGGATTGGCCGTGCTAAGTTACCCCATAGTGTCCAGGGATGTGCAGGTTAGGATGGATCGGCCATGCTAAATTGTCCCATAGTGTCCAGGCATGTGCAGGTTAGGGTGGATTGGCCGTGCTAAATTGTCCCATAGTGTCCAGGGATGTGCAGGTTAGGGTGGTTTGGCCGTGCTAAATTACCCCATAGTGCCCAGGGATGTGCAGGTTAGGGTGGATTGGCCGTGCTAAATTACCCCATAGTGCCCAGGGATGTGCAGGTTAGGGTGGATTGGCCGTGCTAAATTACCCCATAGTGTCCAGGCATGTGCAGGTTAGGGTGGATTGGCCGTGCTAAATTGTCCCAAAGTGTCCAGGCATGTGCAGGTTAGGGTGGATTGGCCGTGCTAAATTGTCCCATAGTGACCAGGCATGTGCAGGTTAGGTCGGTCAGCCAAAGGAAATGCAGGGTGACGGGGATGGGGGGGTGGGTTCTGAGTGGGATGCTCTTCAGAGGGATAGTATGAACTCGATGGGCCAAACGGCCTCTTCCTGCATCGTAGGGGTTCTATGATTTTAAGAGGGAAGGAAATGTAAACAGTTTGTCCCTCCCTTCACCAAACAGCCCTCCTCTTTTTTAATGCCCCCCAACCTGCTTTTACCATCAGCTACACACTGCTATGTCCCACAGTCAAAGTGCCCTTTGTTTTGTTTCATAGGATCTAACCACTGTGTGACAGCACTGAAATGACATACAGAGACAACATTCCTTGCCCATCGAGTGTTGTCTCTCTCTTCCCCCATCTCCATTTCTGAGGGTTAGCCCACTGACTTACAGGGTAGAAGTGGAAAGGTGGATTTGGGCCAGACACAGGCAAATGGCACTGGTTTGGTTTGGGAAACCCAGTTGGCATGGATGAGTTGGACTGAAGGGTCTGTTTGACTCTATGACTCCCTTTCTGGTGAGTCTGGGATCAGGGGGCATAATCTCACAAGAATAAGGGGCCGCACATTATAGGATGGAGATGAGGAGGAATTCCTTCACTCAGAGAGTAGTGAACCTGTTGAATTCTTTACTGCAAAGGGCTGTTGAGAGGGGGTCATAAATATATTCAACGACGGGATAGACAGATTTTTAATCAGGAGGGGAATCAAGAGTTATGAGGAAGTGGAGGTAAGGATTATTGGATCAGCCGTGCTCTCATTGAGTCTGCCCTGCCACTCAATGGGCTGAATGGCCTACCTCTGCTCCTATATCCTATGGTCAGTGTTATGGACTCCTATTGGATTGGTCTATGCCTCAGGGTAATGGAGTGATTTCCTGCTGGGTGCCTGACCAGTGGACTCCCACGTCCTTCTCGCCTGCTATTAGATGCAGCGTCTGGAACGTGGGGTACATCAAGGCCGAATAGCAAGGGCCCATGTCTCAAGGCGCACAATTGGCTCAGGGAGGCTATGGGTCCACTGCGCTTGGGCAGGAGGCCGTGGGTCAGGAGTGGCACCAGGGCCTCAGGTTTCTGTCTCTGCCCCTCTTAAGAGGCATTGGAATCCTGAGGGAAAAACAGCACTCAAAAATTAATAATGTGCGAATATTAATTTTCAGGACCTCTGTTTTGAAAGGCAAGTTAGACCATTGTGTGCTGGTTTGTGCCCCTCTGGGAAAGATTTACAGGTTGGCAATGAACCTGCTTGACCACATTACAATGCACCTTCTATAGCTGACAATTCCTCGTGTGGGACTTGAACCCAAAACGTTGGATGCGGAGGTCATGATATTACCACCGCAGCCCAAGTTTTCCAGCACATTGCCTTTTGATTTGCTTTTAATTATCCGTGAATTTCGAGGTTATTCTTTGTCAAAAACAGCAGGGTGCGTGAGTCCCACCCTCCAGAGGCCTTGCCAATATTTACCACTATAGATAAATTGTGTGCTTGCTATTTGTGGAACTTTGCTGTATGCAAACTGATTGTTCACAGCAATGTTCCAAAAACTTTTCAGATAAAGGTCCTCACCAGCTTTCAAGCACATCGCTGGATACCTAAAATAAGCATTAGGCCCCTTCCATGTGATAATGACAGGCCTGACAAAGGACTTGTTTTTCAAGCTGCAGTGTTTGGGAACCTGCCAGATTACTGGTGAGCAGTAGCGATCCTTGTCCCCTGATAAACACCATAGCAAGAAAATATATCTCCCAGCCGAGCCTTCTCTTCACAGTGCAACGAGTGAACAATCAGAGCTCAGAAATTGGACTCTAACCTGCCTGATTGCAGCAAAACTCCTTGGAAGCAAAACAAAAACCAGTTCTTGAAAAGACTGGTTCTTTTGCAAAGTTCATAAACCCTTTACTTGTCCACCAGTGGATTTTCAGAAAAACGCAGCTGAAAAAGATTTTGAAAGTTGAGAAATGGAAAGTGCGGAGGCCTTTCGAAGCATGTTTTGGCTCAATCTCCAGGCATTCCTGATATTCCTGGCTGTCTTCTTCCTCGTGACTGTGGTAATCCGGAGGAGAAGGACTAGCAATCTCCCTCCAGGGCCCTCTGCCTTCTCTCTCGTTGGAAACATCTTCTACCCCGACCAGTCTGCTCGACATGAGGTAATGAAGATGGACTTTGAGTCCGCTACATTATGATATTCTTTTTGCTAAGTCACTGGAAATTATACACAGCTCACCCCACTCGTTTAAACATTAAGGCTGTACCATCTGTCCATTGCAAAGAAACGATTTATGAGCATCTCATCATTTTTATTTATTTCCTTCACAAAATACTGCAGCTTCACAGCACCAGGGGCCTGGTTCGATTCTACACTTGGGCGACTGTCTGTGTGGAGCTTGCACATTCTCTCCAGGTCTGCGTGGGTTTCCTGTTCAGTGTTCTGATGAAAGGTCACCAGACCGGAAATGTTAACTTGGATTTTTCCTTCACAGGTACTGCCACACCTGCTGAGCTTTTCCAGCACCTTCTGTTTTTGTTCCTGATTTACAGCATCCGCAGCTCTTTCGGTTTTTACATCGGTTTTTACAGCCTTGTCAGCCTCGCGCTAAAGATTAAACCCTCCAAACCGGGCAAGATGCTTGTAAATCTTTTCCGAATCCTTTCTAGTTTCACAACATCTTTCTTGTAGCTCCACATTGCTGTGGGTCTGGAGTCACATGTAGGCCAGGCCAGGTAAGGATGGCAGTTTCTTTCCCTAAAGGATATTAGTGAACCAGATGGGTTTTTTCTGACAATCGATTCATGGTCATCATTAGACTCTTAATTCCAGATATTTATTGAATTCACATTTCACCATCTGCCACAGAGTTTGAATCCAGGTCAGAATATTACCAGGGTCTCTGGATTAGTAGTCCAGTAAAAATGCCACCAGGCCATTGCCTCCCCATAATTATGCAAAGGACATTGTGGTACAATGGTAGTGTACCTGCCTCAGAGCCAGGTGGTCTGAGTTCAAGTCCTTTCTAGCTCCAGAGGTGTGTTCCTGCATTATCTGAATGCACTGATTTTAAAATACCTGAAAAGACACTGAAGAGGTTACAAAGAATGTTTCCTGATTAAACTTATCAGGAAAGCATTGGCAAACTGAGTCAATTCTCTTTTGACGAAGGAAAGTTGATTTAAAACCGTGTATTCGTGGTGTTTTAAATGGTGACGGGACTTGACAGAACGGATACACAGAGAGCGTTCCTTTATGTGGAGGAGACAAGGCTGTCAACAGAAACATAGGGGCAGAAATAGGCCATTCAGCCCTTTGAGCTTGCTTTGCCATTCTGTACAATCATGGCTGATTATCCCCGTTCTCGCTATCACGCCGCACCCTTTCATCCCCTTTAGCCCTAAGAACGGTATCTAACTCCTTCTTGAAACATTCAATGTCTCAGCCTCACCCAGCTGTGACTGGATCATCACCAGGAAGACCAATAGGGAACCCAGAAGAAACTTCTTCACTCAAAGAGCAGTGAGAGTGTGGAACTTAGCACCACAGAGAGTAGAACTGCAGATAATGGCACAGATGGCATTTTAGGGATTGAAGTAAAATCCAGCAAACTCCGAAGTCAAATCAGAAAGTGCTTGAGAGACTCAGCAGGTCTGGCCACATCTGTGAAGTGAGAAGCAATGTTAGCCAGCTGAGTGTGACCCTGTTTTTTCTGTCTGAGTACCAGTTGCATCGAGTATTTTGGAGGCATTCGCATTGCAGAGCTTCACTGGGATTTCTCACCATTTCTTACTGAATGTGTCTCATTACCCCGCCCCTATAGCATGCCTCACATCCGATTCTATCCCCATCTTAACACACGCCATTCCTGGAAAAATTTGCCGATCAGCTGATCAGCCAAGAGTCTGCATTCCCTTGCAGCAGCAATATCTGTGCACAGCAACCTTTTAAAGATGGCACCCACACCAGGGAATGCTGGTTAATTCCAGAATGTCCCAGGAGTGGTGAGTTGTTCCAGAAATGGCTCGTGGTAAAATGGGAATATAACTGGATGAAAGGAATTCCCAGGATGGAAGATTCACTTACCAGTGGCCCTGGGTTTAAGGTGCGAGGGGCAAGATTTAAAGGTGATGTACGAGGCAAGTTTTATTAGACAGAGGGAGGTGGGTGTCTGGAACTCGCTGCTGGGGGAGGTAGTGGAAGCAGATACTATAGTGACTTTTAAAGGGCGTCTTGACAAATACATGAATAGGATGGGAATAGAGGGATACAGTCCCCGGAAGGGTAGGGGGCTTTAGTTGTGACGGGCAGCATGTCGGTGCAGGCTTGGAGGGCCGAAGGGCCTGTTCCTGAGCTGTAATTTTCTTTGTTCTTTGTTCTTAGAATAACGCAGGGAGTTAATGAGATGTGTTTCCTAAGAGAAAAAGGACTGGGCCTCATGGCAAGAATCGCCTTCCTCCCCACAAAAAAAAAATCCATTGCATCTGGCATTTAGCCAAAAAAACACAGGATTTAGCTCTTCAGATTCTGAAGAAGGGTGCCTGGACTTGAAACATTAACTCTGTCCCTCTGCACAAATACTGCCTGAACTGCTGAGTTTCTCCAGCAATTTCTGCTTTTTTTTTCAGATTTGCCGCATTTGCAGTTTTTTGTTTCATAATTGGATTGAGCTCATTGATTTTCTTGGCAAAAACTTTGGAAGGAATTCTGTAAGGAGATTCAGCGGTAGTGCATTGAGAGTTACATCGATAATAAGTCACTATGGGATAACACAATCACTGCGATAATGTCCTACAAATCAAGATCCATTATTCCTGGTGTTGTCACACAAATTAAAGACTTTATCAAAATGTGTGAAATTTGCCAATTTGCCTGACCCAGGCTAACAAAAATAAACACAGACCAGATTTCTGTATTTAATACCAACTACTATTTATTCCATATAAATAGATTCTAAGCACAAGTAAATAATGATGAACTGTTGACAAATAATTACAAGTTAATACTTAACCCTCTTTCAAAATCCACTGCTGTATAAATACAGACAGACACAAACAGACATTGTGTTATTGGTGGAGTGGAGCAAAAAGCATTGGAAAAACAGTTTAATTGCCTCAGTCCACAGGGTTCACTAAAATGATCCTTTTGTTTGTCAGGCTTTTCTATTCTTCAACGTCTTTTCTCCAAGTTATTTTCACTTTTTCACAGAAGGCAGAGGTGATTGGTACACTAACTGCAAAGGCTCACAGTGCACAGTAACTGGTGAAGGAAACTAAACTGGCATTCTTCAGATTTCAAAAAGACACTCCATCTTCCTCTTGCAGCAGTCCAAATGTTTCTGATAGTATCATTCACACCCACAAGATGTTCAGATACCCAGAGGCCAATCAGATAGCTGTTACACTGATGGTCTTTGCCACCCACAACCAGTTACAACTCCGCAAACCAATCAGCAACCTGTTGCCAGTTGAATTCCCACTCTGTATACATCCCTTATGCCTCCCCGTCTGCAAACAGCTGCCTCCACTGTTTGAACAATGCAACAGTGTAACCATGACTTACAATGAGTTTCAGTAACTTGCTTTTTAAAAGTACGGTAATTCCTTCCTCAGTCCTTTGCTTATTTTTTTCCATTTCAGTTCACATGCAGAAAAAATTTAAAAAAGAGTCTGATCTTCACAATGTATTCACAAAATGCATGAATGAGAAAAGACTGAGAATCAATGTTGCAGAGATTATGCAAATCCTGGAGAACAGAGAAATCTCCAAATTGAAATGGGTGGATAGCAACGGTTAGCTATGTGATTGTTTTATGAGGAAAGGAGCAAACTGTAAGAAACTATTGAAAATTCTAAAAAAAAAAGCCTTTGAAATTATATTGTACTTTAAAAATGCCATTTTCCACAACAAGTTACCATTCTGTATGCTTGCTTTTGGTTAATATTGGGTATGTTTTCTATTAATTAAAAGTTAATTGGGTAAGAGTTGGGTGTGTAAATATGGGGATGAAATAAGCTGTGGTTGCAGTTTGTAGATCGTAAGCTGCAATCAAACTCTGATGAGAAAAGCATAGACCTGGAGTTTGTCTGAGCAGTCATTTAACCTCTGGTTTTTAACAACAACATGTTAACAGAAAGGTGTTATCACTGAGCTTAGTGTTCCTCCATTTCGCCACACAATGTTTTGACTCCTCGTGTACATCTAAATGCTTTGCAGTACCTTGGCTGTGAAATGCATAATGTTAGCCTGGTTGCTGATCCCAGAGTATATGCTCTGAACTCGTACGCAATTCTGAATGAACTAATTCCCTCGTAGCTGCTCCCAACCCATGGGGAGGTGGTAGTGCAGTCAAACTGTTACTAGATTAGTAGTCTTAAACCTTAGGTTGACATTCTGAGGGTAGGGGTTCAAATTCCACAGTGAAACTTGAATTCAATAACAGGGTGAGCAAGGAAAGAAATCTGGATTAAAAAGCTAGTCAAATGGTGACTGTGTAACGACTGTTAATTGTGATAAAAGCCAACCTTTTGCCATTTCGGAGACCTGCTGTCCTTACCCAGATAGCCTGCATATGACTCTAAACCTGTTAGACTCTAACCTGGTGTTGTGTGAATTCTGACTTTTTCCAACGCCACCAGCTCCACACCTAAACCAAGGTGTTTAACCCTGAGATAACACGGTGTAGAGCTGGATGAACACAGCAGGCCAAGCAGCATCAAAGGAGCAGGAAGGCTGACGTTTCGGGCCTAGACCCTCAGGGTGATTAGCAATGGTCAATTAATACCAGCCTAACCAGTCCCATCCACATCCCGTAAGCAAATAAAAACAGAACTGACACTTTTGGGCCTGTTTTATTTCAGCACTGAACCATCACTCACCACCCATTGACTCATGCAATCAAACAGCTGCAGGAAGGTGAAAACACTACCATAAAATTTTAACATTGAATGCAGACAGATTCAGCTCTGATGGGGGTCTGGGATGGGATTAAAGTCTGAAAAATCTCTTTCTGGAGCCAAAACCATCTCCACTTACCCTGCCCTCCCTGTCCTGAGTTTAACTGAGTCTGAAAAGTGGGTAAAGTGATCTAAATTGTCTGACGAGAGTTAGGGTTAGAATTTTAAATATAATAAGGACAGTGTGAGCTGACTTTTCATGTCCAACTGCTTTTGCCAAATAGAATTGCTACAGTGTGGAAGCAGGCCATTTGGCCTATCAAGTCTACACCAATCCTCTGAAGTGTGATCCAACCTCCCATCACCCTACAGTTCCCTTAGCTGATCCACCCAGCCTGCATATCCCTGGGACAATTTAGCATGGCCAATCCACCCTAACCTGCACATCTTTGGACTGTGGGAGTAAACCAGAGCACCCGAAGGAAACCCATGCAGACACGGGGAGAATGTGCAAACACCACACAGACTGTTGCCCAAGGATGGAATTGAACCCAGGTCCCTAGTGCTGTGAGGCAGCAGTGTTAACCACCGAGCCACCATGCTGCCCATTTACCCTGTTGTATTTACACAAGTCATTAATAACATGATAGTAACCAGACTTTGACACTGATTGATGAGTTGTTATTAGCACAGCGCACCATGAGTAACTCATCCCATCTCCTTCGAGTTGTAAATCCACCTGGACAGACAGATAACATAGAACGTACAACTGTGCAACACAGGAACGAGCCCTTTGGCCCACGATGTTGAGCCAAAAAATGATGCCAAATTAAACTAATCCTGTCCACCTACCAAGGATCCATATCCCTCCATTCCTTGCATATCCATGTGCTTATCGAAAAGCCCCTTAAATACCCCTATTGTATCTGCCTGTACCACCACCCCTGGCATTGCATTCTAGAGTCCTACCACCCTCTGTGTGATAAGGACTTTAAGGGAACACCTCACCTAAAGGATGGTGCCCCTGACTGAGTGGTGGCCCCTCTGTACTGCATTGTGGTGACAGTAGTAGGTTTTTGTTTTAATCATGCTGAGGCCCTAGTGTGAGATTTGAACCCTGAGTCAGGTTGAAGTTGCCACAGTCCTGCTCTCTCATTGGAGGGAGTGGTGGTTTAAACTGAGGGTAACCATGCCCCCCCACCCCAGGTGAGGTTGAGATAGGGATTGCTCTGTGATGCCCTCAGGCCATGCAGGATTTGAACCCCATGCTATTGGGGTGTTGCCAACCAACCATCCAGCCAACTGAGCTAACTGCACCCCCACCTCCAACTGCATGGCTCAGCGGTGACAGTGCTATCAACTGAAGGGCCCAGCTGATTCTTTTCTCCTTTTTCTAAACAGCTCTCCCGGAAATATGGGAACATTTTTACGACACATATCCTGTGGATACCGATCATTATTCTGAACGGCTTCCAGACTATCCAGGAGGCACTGACCCAGCATGGCACAGAATTCGCTGGGCGACCGTACATGCATATCACTGACCTTTTGTCAAAAGGTCAAGGTAATAACTTATTCGCGTATCATTAAGGGTCTGGCAATGTGGTTATATCATTGGGCTAGTACCAGGCAAATGTTCTGAGGACACAGGCTCAAATTTAACCATCGCAAGTCGAGGAATTTAAATGCAATTAAAAAATTCTGGAATATTATAAACAGAAACTATTTTCAAGAAAATCCATCTAGACCACCAATGCACTAATGTGGGCAGTGCGGTGGCTCAGTGGTTAGCTCTGCTGCCTCACAGCATCAGGGACCTAGGTTCGATTCCACCCTCAGGTGACTGTCTGTGTGGAGTTTGCACATTCTCCCCATGTCTGTGTGGGTTTCCTCCGGGTGCTCTGGTTTCCTCCCACAGTCCAAAGGTGTGCAGTCTAGGTGGATTGGCCATGGGAAATGCAGGGTTACAGGGCTAGGGTTGGGTGGGAGATTTGAGTGGTATGCTGTTTGGAGGATCAGTATGGACTCAATGGGCCAAATGGCCTGCTTCCACCCTGTAGGAATTCTGTGAAAACACTAAAGAAGGAAACTGCCATCCTTACCTGATCTGGCTACATGTGACTCCAGGCCCACAGCAATGCAGCTGACCCTTAACTGCCCTCTGGGCAATTAGAGATGGGAATTTAATGCTAAGCCTAGCCAGAAACGCCCAAGTCTCATGACTGAACATGAAGAAAATAATTTACCCTCATGTGGTAACTGGTAATAGTTATCATTCTCACCTACAATGAAGGAAGTCTTGCATTTATATAACGCTTTTCACACCCCTGGTGGTTTCAAACCCCTTTCCAGTCGAGAAGTTTTGGGATGTAGGCAATACAGCACCAATTTCTACACAGCAAGTTCCTTTTAGCTAATCTTTACACCCATGCTCCACCATGCCATGCCTATGGGGAATAGTCAGGATGTGGTGGAAGGATTCTGCATTTGGTTATCAGTCTGTTGAACCCCATCACCCTTCAATGTCCAATGAATCCTGGCATGGGACTTGAACCCAAAGCTTTCAGCCCAGTGGTATTGCCCGTTGTGCCACAAGACCTCCCACATTGTGCTAATGAGCAAGCTATCCATTTTAATGATGTGGCTCAAGGGATTACCCATTGGCCAAGTTACCATCAGCATAACTCCAGAGCGCTGCTCTCTCACGAAGAGAGTAGCAACTTGTGGCGAGTTTAACCTGAGGGTCACCACACCTCAGGCAAGGGGTGAGACTGAAATCCTCATGGTCATCTCAACCCTTGTGCAAATTGAACCCGCACTGTTGGCATCACTCTGTATTGTGAAACAGCTGCCAGCCAACTGAGCTAACAAAACCCCCTGCTCGGGGCTTGTGGAGAATTCTGCTGCAGTTCTTCAAAACGCAGTGTTCCTTTATGTCCTTCTCTGAAGACAAGATGATCCCATCTGAAAGATGGCATCTATGACAGAGTGCCACCCTGAAACATCAATCACATGCTCAAATTTCCAGTGGGGGATCTTTGAATCCCTAATTTACTTTTCTTCACTTGTGGGAATCGTTGACTGGCCAGCATTTATTGCCTGGCCCTTGAACAGAGTGCCTTGCTAGGCCGTTTGAAAGTCAACCACATTACTGTGGGTCTGGAGTCATGCATAGGGCAGATCAGGTAAGAATGAGATAGTAAGAACTGCTGATGCTGGAGTCAGAGATAACACAGTGTGGAGCTGGAGAAACACAGCAGGCCAGGCAGCATCAGAGGAGCAGGAAAGCTGACGTTTTGGGTCAGGATCCTTCTTCAGAAAACATGTTCCTCCAGCTTCACACTGTGTTATCCCTGGTAAGAACGACACGGTTATTCCCTGAGGGAAATCAGTGAGCCAGAAGGGTTTTCACCCAGTCATCAGTAGATTCTTAACTCCAGATTTTTTAATTACATTTAACCTATTTTTTTCCTAATTAACCTGTTCAGTGATGTTATTGCACACCTCTGGAGCAGGTGGGACTTGAATGCGGCCCTCCTGGTGATGGATAGGGACACTGCCATTGTACCACAGGAGGGCCCCAGGTTTTTTTTTTTCAAATTTTACACAGCAGGATTCAAGCCCAGGTGCCCGGAACATTAGCTGAGTTTCCAGATGAATAGTCTAACAACAAGCAGCACGGTGGCTCAGTGGTTAGCACTGCTGCCTCACAGCACCAGGGACCTGGGTTTAATTCCACCCTTGGGCGACTGTCTGTGTGGAGTTTGCACATTCTCCCCGTGTCTGTGTGGGTTTCCTCCAGGTGCTCCAGTTTCCTCCCACAGTTCAAAGATGTGCAGTTTAGGTGGATTGGCCGTGCTAAATTGCCATAGTGCCCTGGAATGTTTAGGTTAAGTGGGTTAGACATGGGGAGTATGCTGGGGTAGGGGAGTGGGTCTGGGTGGGGTGCTCTTCAGAGGGGTAGTGTGGACTTGTTGGGCCGAAGGGCCTGTTTCCACACTGTAGGGATTCTATGAACAGTACCACTAGGCCATCACCTCCCCTTAGAGGGGAGTATGTTATCAACTGAGCTGTGGACCACTCCTTACTGTTGCTGTCACATGAGATTACAGAACGTAAGCAAATTATTTAAGTGTTTTTGGCAAGAAGAATGGTAGATTGATACCATCTTGTGCATTTTTTGTTGTGTATCTGAAAGTGCGGATATCAGAAACAGTCTCTGATTTAACTTTTCGATTATCTCCTTTCTCTCAGGTATTATAACAGCCCCCTATGGCAGGTCCTGGAAACAGCAGCGTTGGGTCACCCTGACTGTTTTGAGAAACTTTGGCTTAGGACAATTTGCCTTTGAGGACAAAATATTGGAAGAGGCCCATTATTTGGCTGCAGCTTTTAGAGAATCTGAGGGTAAGAATGTGCAATAATATCATTCGATATTATCTCAGGAGCTCACAGGCTGAAACCAAGGCGAAACAGCCCCATTACTCCTAGAACCACTCTCTGAGTGTTTTTGCCCTCGGATGTCACATTTAGGCTATAACTGACCCCAAACGTCAAGCCAACAGAAGGGTTCCCAATGTATTGAGACTTAAGAAGATTTCACACAAAACTAGTGAACAAGGGTAATGGGAATAAAGCAAGAGATTAGGTGTTCAGGTACACAATTCTTTGAAGTTTACATCACACGTAGACAGGGTGGTTAAGAAGGCGTTTAGCACGCTTGCCTTCATTGCTCAGACCTTTGAGTATAGGAGTTGGGACCGTCATGTTGAGGTAGTACAGGATGTAGGTGAGGCCTGTTGTTTTTTTCCTTTATTCATTCACAGGATGAGGGTATTGCTGCCCAGGTCAACATTCTTTGCCCACCCCTAGTTGCCCAGAGGGCAGTTAAGAGTCAACCACATTGCTGTGGGCCTGGAGTCACATGTAGGCCAGACCAGGTAAGGATGGCAGTTTCCTTCCCTAAAGGGGATTAGTGAACCAGATGGGTTTTCCCCCAACAATTGGCAATGGATTCTCAAACATTGTTCAGATTCTTAATTCCAGATATTTATTGAATTCAAATTCCACCATCTGCTGCGGTGAGATTCAAACCAGGTCCCCAGAACGTTACCTGGGTCTCTGGATTAACAGTCCAGCAATAATACCACTAGGCCATCACCTCCTCCTATTCTGGAGTACTGTGTGCAGTTCTGGTCGCCCTGTTATAGAAAAGATATTATTAAGCTAGAGACGGTTCAGAAAAGATTACCAGGAGGATTTGAGTTATAAGGAGAGGCTGGATCGACATAGGAGCAGAAGTTAGGCCATTCAGCCCATCGAGTCTGCTCTGCCATTCAATCATGGCTGATAAATTTCTCAAGCCCATTCTCCCGCTTTCTCCCTGTAACTCTTGATCCCCTTGACAATCAAGAACCTATCTATCTCAGTCTTAAACGTACTCAATGACCCGGCCTCCACAGCCTTCTGTGGCAGTGAATTCCATAGATTCACCATAGGCTGGGACTTTATTCACTAAGGCATAGAAGATTGAGGGGTGACCTGAGAGAGGTTTATAAAATCGTGAGGTGTATGAATAAGATGAATAGCCAAGGTCTTTTTCACGGGGAAGGGGAGGGAGCAAAATTAGAGACATTGGTTTAAGGTGAGAGGGGAAAGATTTAATAGAGACCTGAGGGGCAACTTTTTCACACAGAGCGCGGTGCATGTATGGGAATGAGCTGCCAGAGGAAGTGGTAGAGGCTGGTACAATTACAACATTTAAAAGAGATTTGAACAGGCATATGGATAGGAAAGATTGAGAGAGATACGGGCAGGCAAATGGAGCTCATTTATTTTGGGAAACTTGATCAGTATGGACAAGTTGGGCCGAAGGGTCTGTTTCCGTGCTGTATGCCTTTTTGACTCCATGACTGGAATTTAGAAGTGGCTATCTTTCTGGTGCTGACAGATTCAGGTTCTGGTTTAAGACACTGGTCCAACAGTAAACTCTGATCGAAGAAGAACGTTGGTTCTAAAGAAGGGGCAAGAAATATTGAAGTCCTGATTCCTCAGGCTCACTTCTTTGGAATGAAGTAGCTGTGCCTGAAGGAGGTCTGGCATTGCAGTGGGTTGTGTCCCTGCCTCTGAGCGAGACGTTCTAGGTTCATTTCCTGGTGGAGGACTCCACAAGTAGCATTCATGCCACACATTTGTAAGGCCATGACCATCTCTGCCAAGAGAGAATCAAACTGTTGCCCTTTGACGTTCAATGGCATTATTATCATTGAATCCCTCCCCCATCAACATCCTGGGATTACAATTGACCAGAAACTAAGATGAACTCTGCTAGCCATATAAATACTGTGGCAACAAGAATGGTCTGAGAATACTTCTAAGTAGAGTGTTCTAAGACCAGGTTAGAGTGTAGGAATCCTGCAGTGAGTAACTCACCTCCTGACTCCCTAAAGCCTGTCCACCATCTACAAGGCACAAGTCAGGAGTGTGATGGAATACTCCCCACTTGCCTGGATGGGTGCAGCCCCAACAACACTCAAGAAGCTTGACACCATCCAGGACAAAGCAGCCGCTTGATCGGCACCACATCCACAAGCATCCACTCCCTCCACCACCGACACTCAGTAGCAGCAGTGTGTACTATTTACAAGATGCACTGCAGAAATTCACCAAAGATCGTCAGACAGCACATTCCAAACGCACGACCACTTCCAGCTAGAAGGACAAGGGCAGCAGGTACATGGGAGCACCACCATCTTCAAATTCCCCTCCAAACCACTCACCATCCTGACTTGGAAATATATCGCCGTTCCTTCACTGTCACTGGGTCAAAATCCTGGAATCCCCTCCCTAATGGCATTGAGGGTCAACCCACAGCAGGTGGACTGCAGCGGTTCAAGAAGGCAGCTCACCCCCACCTTCTCAAGGGGCAACTAGGGATGGGCAATAAATGCTGGGCCCAGCCAGTGATACTCACATCCCTTGAGTGAATATTAAAAAAAAGCAGGAAAGAAGATCAGAGGTATAGATAGAGTGGACAGCCAGAGACTTTTTCCGAGGGTGGAGGTAACTATTACGAGGGGGGCATAGTTTTAAAGTGAGTGGAGCTAGATATAGGGGAGACGTTAGAGGTAGGTTCTTTACTCAGAGTGGTAGGGGCGTGAAATGCATTCCCAGAGAGGGTAATGGAGTTGGCCTCATTAGGGGCATTTAAGCAGCTATTAGATAGGCATATGGATAATAGTATAAGGTAGGGGTGGAGGTTAGAAAGACCTTAGGATTAGGGTAAAAGTTCAGCACAACGTCGTGGGCCGAAGGGCCTATACTGTGCTGGACTGTCCTATGTTCTATGTTCTAAGAGTGGGAGAGATTCCTGCTCAACCATGTGGTAGAAAAAAAACTGGATCCTCTGCTGAACTGCCACTTTGGTGTAATCTTTGTCTCCAGCTGAATGTTTGTGCCCGATGTGGCGATAATTCTGTTCACTTAGGTAACATAGGAATTAGATGTGGGCAACATGGTAATGCAAGATTTAACATAGGCTTATTACAACTCCTGAAATATACACATATTACAGTCTCAGGCCCTTCAATGCCTGGGCTATGTGGTTACAACCAATAGAACATGTCCAACAGCATGTCATGTTCCAAGTGGACCCAGTCAAGGTGGAGTGTGGGACCTATATATTCCCAGGCCACATGCTCTGATACAGTGATTATACCATAAGGGGAGGTGATGGCCGAGCGGTATTATTGCTGGACTATTAATCCAGAGACCCAGATGATGTCCCAGGGAACCAGGTTTGAATCCCGCCACGGCAGACGGTGGAATTTGAATTCAATTAGCAGTCTAATGATGACCGTGAATCCATTGTTCATTGTTGGGAAAAACCTATCTCGTTCACTAATGTCCTTTAGGGAAGGAAACTACCATCCTGACCTGGTCTGGCCTACGTGTGACTCCAGACCCACAGCAATGTGGTTGACTCTTAACTGCCCTCTGGGCAATTAGGGATGGGCAATAAATGCTGCCTGGTCAATGATGCCCTCATCCCATGAATGAATAAAGGAAAAAAATACCATAAGCAGGTCTTTTAAGGGTAAGCTGCATATTGAACAGGAGAAGTAACATCACTATCCTTAACTACACATTACAACATGCAAGTAAATGTGTGCATTGGCAGGGGGTGGAGGCCTATAGTTGCTGTTTGGCTTAGTCTGGATCAGATTGATGGAAACAGCATGAGGTTTGATCGTCTTCCAGCTGAGGTGGATTCGGAACCTACCTCCTTATCATTGGATCCCTAAAGAGTGGGGTCAGGTCATTCAGCCCATCAGGTCCACACTGACTCTCCAAACAGCATTCCACCTAAACCCACCCCCTACCCTATCCTTGTATTTCCCACAGCTAACCCACCTAGCTTGTGCATCCCTGAACACTATGGGGGAATTTAGCATGGCCAATCCACCCTAACCTGCACATCTTTGGACTGTGGGAGGAAACTGGAGTACCCGGAGGAAACCCACACAGACAGGCACCTGAGACTAGAATTGAACCTGGGTTCCTGGCGCTGTGAGGCAGCAGTGCTAACCACTGAGCCACCGTAACACCCTCTTTCCAGTGATAAAGCTCCAGCTGTGGTTCAGACCTGTCTTCAGATGGAAAACTGAAAAAAAGTAACCCTTGACGAAATCACATTGATCCACCTTCTGTGTTCTTACGTAGGGTCTTCCTTTGATCCTCAAGCCATCATCACCAGTGCTGTTTCCAATGTGATCTGCAAAGTCACCTTCGGCAAGCGTTTCCATTACGAGGACAGGACATTCAAGAGACTTGTTGCATTGTTTGATGAGGCCCTGAAGCTTCAGGCAGGATTCTGGGCAATGGTAACCGTTTTAATGTTTATTAACACTTTATGTTCAGGAATGAGAGAAAACACTTCCTCAAAATGGGCATATAAATGCCTGGGCGCATGCTGATGCTTCAGCGGAGTACTGAAGGTGTGCTGCACTGTCAAAGGCATTATCGTTCAGATGAGATGTTAAACTGTGCCCCACCTGCCTGAGCAGATGGATGTAGGATCCCCTGGTGCTATGTTGAAGATGAGCCGAGCATTCCTTCCTGTTGTTCTGACCATTATTAACCCCTCAATCAGCGACACAAAGACAGATTATCTTGTCATTAACATAATACCGGTTTCTGGGAATTTGCTGTGTGCAAATTGGTTGGCACATTTTCTATAGTAAATCAGTAACTGTACTTCAAAAGTAGTCCTTTGGCTGTAAAGCATTGGGTAAATGTAATCTATTCTTCTAACAAATTAATTTGTCGACCTTCATCTTAAAGCGAGGTATATGTGAGTCTGTGCAGGGAGTGATTTTTTCAGGGATTCTGGGAGGAGGAAAGCCACTCCACTTTCCATTATCGGGACTATCATCTCAGCAGAAAATGGCTGCTTGAACTAGTGCTACTCATAGAAACATTGGCTGAATGCACAAATTATTCTGGGATGCTGACACAAATTAAACATAGGAAGAAGAAGAACTAGGAGCAGGAGTAGGCCATTCAGCCCCTCGAGTCTGCTGTGCCATTTAATATGATCATGGCTGATCTCGCCTCGGCCTTTACTGCACTTGCCTGCCCACTCACAATCATCCTTCAACCCATTACTAATTAGAAATCTGTCTAGTTCCTTCTTCAATTTACTCAGTGCCCCCAGCATCCACTGCTCTCTGGGGTAGTAAATTCCACAAATTCACATCGCTTTGAGAGAAGTAATTCCTCCTCATCTCTGGTTTCAATCTGCTATCCCTTTTCCTAAAAATATGTCCTCTCATTCTCGTTCTAGATAGCCTCCCATGAGAAAACATCCTTTCTACATTAACCTAATCAATCCCCTTTAGCATCTTAAACACCTCAGTAGATCTCCTCCCATTCTTCTAAACTCTCGTGAGTACAGGCCTACACTGCCCAATCTCTCTTCATGAGACAAACCCCTCATCTCTGGAAGCAATCTTGTGAACCTCCTTTGAACTGCCTCCAATGTAACTGAATCCCTTCTCACGTACGGAGCAACAAAATTGTGCATGGTCCTAGCCTAGATCTTGCAAAGTTGCAGCAGTATGTCTCTACTTTATGACACTGATAGCCAGGTAGAATCATAGAATCCCTACAGTGTGGAAACAGGCCATTCAGCCCATTGAGTCCACAACAACCCTCCAAAGAACACCCCACCAGACTCACCCTATCCCTGTAACCCTTTACTTCCTATGGCTAATCCACCTAGCCTGCACATCCCTGGACACTACGGGACAATTTAGCATGGCCAATCCACCTAACCTGCACGTCTTTGGACTGTAGAAGGAAACCCACGCGGACATGGGGAGAATATACAAACTCCACACAGACAGTCGCCTGAGGGTGGGGCCAAACCTGGGTCCCTGGTGCTGTGAGGCAGCAGTGCACATTGGAAGGATATGTAGGTTGACAATCACAAAGCTCACAAACCTTCTGTGGCTATCGTGGGGCTCACAGAGCTTCTGAGTCAGAGGTAGGAACACTACCCCACGCTATGGGACTTCCCAACTTCAGATGATCTGCAGTACGTCTGCCCTAAAGAGTATAAGCTTTAGCTAGCATGTAGTGCGTCTGCAATATGGTGGGAGCTTGTCTGCATCTCAATTGTGCAAACTCCACGCAGACAGTCAACCAAGAGTAGGCTTGAACCTGGGCTCCCTGGTGCTGTGAGGCAGCAGTGCTAACCAGTAAGCCACTGTGCCATGCCATTGAGTAAATGTTCCCAAAGCTCTACCCAAACTTAATCAGACCTGCTAAATGCCCATGGTGTGGCAGCAGGGAATTTGACAGCAGGGACTTTATACCCAGAGACCATGGGACCGCAGCCCAGCCAATGGCTGAAAGCTTACATCCCATATAGACCTTCCGCCACTGTGTGTAAAACAAAGGACTGCAGATGCTGGGCATCAGAAACAAAGACAGAAGTTAAGTAAAGAAGGGGTTAAGTAAACAAGGAGATCATGGATAGCCAGCTAGGACAGAAGAGAAGTTGAATAAGTGATAATAAGAGCTAAGGGTAGGAGAGAAAGGTTAACTGTACTGAAAGTAACCCATATAATGTGATAATGGGCCTAGGAGTAGGTGGGAATGGATGATTAAGCTAAAATTAACCCATATCATAGCAGCAACAGGTGTGGATGAAAAACATGGGAGTTTAGAATCTGGCTCTAAAGTTATTCAACTCGATGTTGAGTTCTAGAGGCTGCAGGTTCCCAGAGCGGAAAATGAAATGTTGTTCTTCGAGCTTGCACTGAAGCTCATGGGAATCAAACAACAGGCCCAAGACAGAAACGTTGGCATGGGAGCATGGTGACATGTTGAAATGGCAGGCAACCAGAAGCTTGGGGTTATGGGTGGCATGGTGGCTCTGTAGTTAGCGCTGCTGCCTCCTAGTATCGGGGACCTGGGTTCAGTCCCAGCCTTGGGTGACTGTCTGTGCGCTGCTTGCATGTTCTTCCAGTGTCCATGTGGGTTTCCTCCCACAGGCCGAAGAAGCGCAAGCTAGGTAGTTTAGCCATGGGATAGGGTGGGTCTGGGTAGAATGCTGTTTGGAGCCTATGGGCTGAATGGCCTGCTTCCACACTGTAAGGATTCTGCGATTTTTGTGCACAGACTGTAGGTGTTCTACAAAACAGTCACCTGGTTTGTGTTTGACTTCCAAATGTAGAGGTGACCTCAATGTGATGAGCGAATACAGTAGATTAGATCGAGTGAAGTGCAGGTAAATTGCTGCTTCATCTTGAAGGTGTCTGAGGAGGGAGGAGGGTAAATAGGCAGGTGCTGCACCTTCTACGATTGCGTGGGTAGGTGCAGTGGGGTTGTGAGGAAGTATTGGGAATGGAGGCGGAGTGGACCAGTGTATCTTGGAGGGAACAGTCCGTGTAGAATACAGACAAGGGAATCCTTCATGCTGTGATAGGAACTCCCACAATCTAACCACAGTCTGGGTGAATTTATTTGTCTTGCTGTCCCAGCTGGAGTTATTACTGGATCTCTGCTACTTAATGCCCCTTGATGTGTCTAGTCCACAAGTAGAACATTTTCTCTACCTTACAAAATCCTTTCATGATCTTAAGGTCAAAGATCAAGTTCCTTTCTTCTCTTTTCAGCGAGAGGTGAATTTGGAACTCACTGCCTGAAAGGGGGAACGAGGCTGAAAACCACATTAAAAAGGGACTTGGGTGGGGGGCCTGAGGTATGGTAACTGACAGTGTTCAGACCAAGAGCTGGAAACTGTGATTAAATGAGATTGATGTATTCCGCTACAGTCACAATGGGCCAAATGGATGCCTGTGCTACCAATTTTCAGGATTCTGTAGAAGACCTGCAGTGTACGCAGTCTTTCCTGCCAGGTCTAGTCATTCTAGTATCCCATCAGAGTCCAATTGTGGAATAAACTCCATTGAGACATTTCCCTTTCTGGAATACAGACCTTTATCCACTTGGTGTATCTGGAGTAGAACAAAAGGATTCATCTGTCTTCAAAATGTTGTGAGACATTGGTCCTGGGTTCCTGAAAAACATTGTTTTTGTTTTAACCTGAGTGATGTTTAGCCCACTTTGACACATTGGGACTTGGTCTCAGTTACAATCTCCTGCATTCTCACAATGGGCAGCACGGTGGCTCAGCGGTTAGCACTGCTGCCTCACAGCGCCAGGGACCTGGGTTTGATTCCAGCCTCAGGTGACTGACTGTGTGAAGTTTGCACGTTCTCCCTTTGTCTAGGGTGCTTCGGTATCCTCCCACAGTCCAAAAATCTGCAGGTTAGGGTGGATTGGCCATGTTAAATTGCCCCATAGTGTCCAGGGATGTGAAGGTGAGGTGGATTGAGCTGTGCAAAATGCAGGGTTAATCCCCTTCTGGGGCGTGTTGGGAGGCTTGACCCTTCCTAAAGGCTTCTGACCAGCGATCTGCTCCCTTATGTACAGGACCATAGTTTAACATGATCTTCATTGCCTCTCTCACAGACGTGCAGGACTATTGGAGTCATCGCTATCTTGGTTACTCCCTTCTTTTCCAGCTCTTTGATCTTACCTTTCAGGCTGGTATGGAGAGGAGCTGTACCTTTCTTCGATGGATACTGAATTGGTCTTGTATTCTTATCTATTTCAAGATGATGCTTTTCTGGAAGACAGCCTTTCAATATTGTGTTTCCCCACTGCCCCCCATAAACTCCATTAAGCACAGACTCAGAGCCATGAACCACTCCTTATATGACAAACCCTTTTCATTCTTAGTAATGATTTCCAGTCCTCTGGACCCTCCCTGACTCCAGAGATTCCTGAACGATCACCTCCAACATCTCTAATAATCTCATCAGCTATCTCCTTCAGAACTCTGCAGTGTGGTCCAATGTCCAGGTGATTTAGTCACCTTCAGACTTTTCGGCTTCCCCAGCACCTTCTCCTTAGGGATGGCCACTAGACTTACTTCTGCCCCTCTCTTGAGGTTCTGGTTTGCTGCTGGTGTCTTCAATCATGAAGATTGATGCAAAGTACCTATTTCTTTGCTCCCCGTTACTACTTCTGCAGCATCGTTTTCCAGTGGCCCAATGTCCACTCTTGCCTCTGTCTTCCCTGTTAGATATCTAGTGCAATCTTCTTTTCTATCCATTCATATATTTCTATTATATATTCTAAACAGTCTCTTTCCAACAGTGACAAAAAGTGTAGTGACATGTATTTATTCTGGTTTGCTGAATGAAAATATAGCTCATGCATTATTCTGCCATTGTGCATGGAAGATTTCCCAGTTTTGTCTCCTAGCCCCAGTCATTTGAAGAGATGCTGGTAGGGGAAAAGCTGCAGCAATTTTCTCTGAAGAAATGTTTTCTGTGTGATCCTCATCTTCTTTCCTTTTGCTGTGACAGCTTACAACTCTGCAGCTGTGTTTTTTATTTCAGCTCTGACACTCCCCACTGGTGCCACCATGTTTAGCACAGCGCTGGGTTCAGTAGCAGGATTTTATTGAAGTGAAGCTTTAAGATGTCTGTCTGAAGCATGTGAGCCACATGGTAGAGGTCACATAACCGCAGCAGAGTCATAGAGATATACAGCACGGAAACAGACCCTTCAATCCAACTCGTCCATGCTGACCCGATATCCTAAATTAATCTAGTCCCATTTGCCAGCATTTGGCCCATATCCCTCAATACCCTTCCCTATTCATGTATCCATCCAGGTGCTTTTTAAACGCTGTAATTGTACCAGCCTCCACCACTTCCTCTGGCAGCTCATTCCATACACGCACCACCCTCTGTGTGAAAAAGTTGCCCCTTAGGCCCCTTTTAAATCTTTTCCCTCTCACCATAAACTTATGCCCTCTAGTTTTCGACTCCCCTAAGGGAGACATTTGTACATTTTGTTTTATTCATTCACAGGATGAGGATGTCACTGGCCAGGCAGCATTTATTGCCCCATCCCTAATTGCCCAGAGGGCAGTTAAGAATCAACCACATTGCTGTGGGCCTGGAGTCACATGTAGGCCAGACCAGGTAAGGATGGCAGTTTCCTTCCCTAAATGGTATTAGTGAACCAGATGGGTTTTTAAAAAAACAAAACCTGTGCAAGAATTTGAACCTGAGTCACTGGAACATTATGGGGATTTTCCTGGATTAATAGTTCAGTGATAACATCCATAGGCCATCGCCTCCACACGATTGCATTGCTGTCCAAACCATCCAGTTTCAGATAAAAACACACACACACACACACGTAGACACATACAGACAGGCAGACACACACACACACCCACACACACATGTATACACACACACACATACACACGTACAGACACACACACACACACACACACACAGAGCCACATGCACACACACACACACACAGAGCCACATGCACACACACACAAACACACACAGAGCCACATGCACACATACACACACACACACACACACTCAGAGCCACATGTACACATACACACACACACAGAGCCACATGCACACATACACACATGCAAATATACAAACACATACTCATACACACATGCATAATCATATGGACACACACGCACACACACATCATGAATAAAACCCAGTCCTTCCTCAGTATTGCATCAATCTCTTAAAATAGCAATGCTAGGTATTAACTCCTCAGACCTCGGCTTTGCATTTGAAGAGAAACCAATTCTGTGTTTCCTGCTTAGGTGTGTTGTGCAATCCCCAACATGAATCGTTTCCCAGGGCCTCATCAGAGAATCTTTAAAAACAAGGCTGAAATTGAAGCTATTCTCCAGGATTTCATCCAACAGCACAAAGACTCACTGGATGGTGAAGAGATCCGGGATTTCATCGATGCCTACCTGCTGGAAATGGAAAAGGTAGGCACTGCGCCAAAAACCATTCTGCTGGTAGTTAGAATGTTGTCTTTTGGGACTTGGTCTGTGCAGAATCATCTCTAGGGTGGGGGAGGAATCTGAGTGACTGCCCCAAGCCCCACAGTTCAGGGGAGAAAGTGGGGGAGGGGGGACTACTGGAAATATGGTCTCGTGTCAGGAGCCAGAAGCCAAGGGGGATAGTGAGTTTTGAAGAGGTGGGAGTGGTAGCACGTGACTTTTCATTTTGTTTCCAATTTAACCTGAAGGCAGAGAGGTGGCATTAGCACAAAGGATCTCCATGGAAATCTAGACATTTCAAGTTGGGACTTGAGCTTGAGCCTCCTCACGCATACCCATGACCAATGGACTACAAGAACCCTTAATGTCTCCATTTGCCTCAGGGTGATCAGAGGTTGGTCCTGCAGGCTCAGTGAATGGAGGAAAAAGTTGCAGAGCTGAGGGGACAAGGAGGGGGTCTCTCACACTGGGTCAATTTCCCCAGACCCTGTACCCAACTTCTTCACAGTAAATTCTGACACAACATACTCATTTAGTATCTCACTCATCTCCTGTGGCTCCACACATAGACAGCCTCGTTGATCTTTAAGGAGCCCAATTCTGTCCTGAGTTGCTCTTTTGCCCTTAATATATTTGTAGAATTTCTTTGGATTCTCCTTAACCCTATTTGCCAAAACTATCTTATGTCCTCTTTTTGTCCTCCTGATTTCTCTTTCGAGTATACTCTTACTGCCCTTATATTCCTTGAGGGATTCTCTCAGTCCCAGCTATCTATACCTGCCATATGTCTCCTTTTTCTTGATCAGAGCCTCAAGTTCTCTCGTTATCCAGTATTCCCTACACCTACCAGCCTTGCCCTTCACCCTAACAGGAGCATACTGCCCTGGACTCTCGCTATCACATTTTCCCATCGTCCCTATACCTGCAAATAACCTCTCCCAATCAAGTTTTGAAAGTTCTTGCCTAATACCGTCAAAATTGGCCTTACTGCAATTTAGAACTTTAACTTCTGGATCATGTCTATGCTTTTCTATCACTATTTTAAAACTAATAGAATTATGGTCACTGGCCCCAAAGTGCCCCCCCACCACTGACACCCCAGTCACCTGCCCTGCCTTATTTCCCAAGAGGAGGTTAAGTTTATCTCCTTCTTCCAAGGTACATCCACATACTGAATAAGAAAATTTTCCTGTACACATGTAACAACTTCCTCTCCATCCAAGCCCATAACACAGTGCCAGTCTATGTTTAAAATGTTAAAATCCACTACCATTACAACCCTATTATTCTTACAGATAACTGAGATCTCCTTATAACTTCGCTTCTCAATTTCCCACTGACTATTGGTGGGCCTATAGTACAATCCCAATAAGATGATCATCCTTTTCTTATTTCTCAGTTATGCCCAAATAATTTCACTACATGTACTCACAGGAATATCCATGCCAAGTACAGCCATCATGTTATCTTTAACCAAAACCGCCACTCCCCGTCCTCTCTTGCCTGACTCCCAACCCCCCATCTTTCTATCCTTCCTATACCATCTATACCCTGCAATGTTAAGCTGCTACATCTCTCCCTTCCCTGAGCCACACTGTAATAGCTATGATATCCCAGTCCCATGTTCCCAACTATGCCTTACCTGTCAGGCCTCTTGCATTGAAATAAGTGCAGTTTAGTTTATTAGTCTTACCTCATTCTCTGTCTTACTCTTGCCTGCCTTGACTATTTGACTTGCTCCTCTTCTCCGTACTGGACTCAGACTTATCTTTTTTCTCACTATCACTTCCCACACCCCCTGCCCCCCCCATCCCCTCACTCATTTAAAGCTTCCCGAGTAACAAATCTCTCCACCAGGATATTGGACCCCTTCTAAAGCAGGTGCAACCCGTCCTGCTTATACCGGTCACTTCTAGCCCAGGGCAGATCCCAGTGATCCAAAACTGTGAATCCCTGACCCTTGCACTGACTCCTCATCCACACATTCATCTGCTCGATCCTTCAATTCCTACTCTCACTAGCGCCGGGAGTAATCCAGATGTTACTAACCTCAAGAGCCTACTTTTTAACCTCCTGCCTAATTTCCCATATTCCCCATTCAGAACCTCGTCCCTTTCTCTACCCTGTGTCGTTGGTACCAGTGTTTACAATGACCTTCTTCTGGTCACTTTCCTTTTGATGCTTTGCACTTTTTTTTTAATGACCTGGGAGCTGGGGGAGCCTATAGGTCTCTGTTGGTATCTCCGTGGAAAGTTGACTTGCCAATCAATCAGCAAACATCTTCTCCATGTCTTTGATCATTTAGAATTTGGCATTTGTCACGATGGCAAAAGTTTTGTGGTCAAGTCCTAAAGTGGGATTCGAACCTAGAATTCTGTGATCTTAAGGTATGAAAGCAGCCGACTCAGCATTGAACAGAAGGGCACTTCTTTTCTCAGGAGCGTAACTTCCCTGGTTCGTGTTTGCTGGATGGAAACCTGTTGTATAATACTTACGATTTATTTCTGGCTGGTACTGAGACAACAACGACCACACTCCGCTGGGCTTTTCTGTATATGATGGCTTATCCAGATATACAAGGTAAAAACATGTCTCTATCACAATGTAGGGAGAGTTCCAATGAAGAAACATCCAAAGCATAATAAATTGAACATGTTCAGGTTTTCTGACAAAAAGACTTGCATTTATGTAGCATTCATCGCAAGAACAAAAGGGATTGCTCCCCAAAATGTCTCACAGCCAATGGTGTGCAAATGTAAGAAACATACCAATTAATTTGTGCGCAGCAAGCTCCCACAAACTACAGCATGGTTGTCACGGATGATCATTTTTTCTTGCAAATCATGTTTGGGGAGAACTCAGCCTGTCTTCGTTAAAATAATGTCATAAGATCCATTCGGAGCTTTCCAGTCTCAGCAGTACCACTGGGAAGTGTGGCCACTGCTGGTACTACAGGCAAAAACCCAGAGCCACGGAACCCTGGAACCAGATGAGAAGTTAGGGATTCAGTTGGTGCCAATCTAGTAAGGTTCTGATGACCAGGGGTTAGAGGGCAAAGTTCAGAGATGAGGGTGGGTGGGGGTTGGGGTAACAAGGCAGGGAGTTCCACTGTCGGTGGTAGTGTTCCTCCTTTGGGCACACCCCCTATCCACCAAATTCCCTAATGGTGTGGACGCTGGGAAAGTGCGAAGGTGTTAATCAGCCACTTAGTTGCCTTAATTCCCTGCAAAAGGATGGGGCCATCCAATGTGGCCCTCCTCCCCACCGCGGAGAGAATTCTAATAGACATGGGTTAGCAATGACAATGACACTGCTTTATTTCAGCACCCCCCTTCCCCACAACACCGCCACATCAATCCCCTTTCCCCTTCCCTCTAGGGAGTAATAACCCACCCCATAGTTCTGACCCGGTTGACCAATCAGATAAACACCACTGCTGACCAATAAAGTACAGGAAATGGCAGCAGGGAAATGAAAGAACAGATGCAACCACCAACACTACAACCCCAGTCCCGCCCCAGCACTCATGTCTCACCATCCCCAGCACCAACTTCAAAACCCCACATCACCCATCTCTCACCCTCCCAACTCCCATTCCTCACACCCCGGCACCCACCCATCTCCCCATCACCCATCTCTCACCTCCCCAATAATCATCCCTCACCCCACATCACCCATCTCACACTCCCCAATACTCATCCCTCATAACCCCATCAACCATCTCTCACCTCCCCAATACTCATCCC